ACAAATAGCTCAAAAATATTCTGACTACCAAATTGCAGGGCCTCTACCAAACTGCTTTCCTGGGAATAGCATGAACTTCTAGCAATAAAATAAAATACTGCAATAAAATTGACACACCTGAAAGTTCAGGATCTCAACAGGAACAGCAGAGAATCGTGTAAGGCTACACAGTTCTCTCCCCCTACTCACCCCACCCCTGCTCCAGACAAGACCCTCTAGTGAGTAAACTACTTAATGCAAGATCTGAAAATCACACTGAAAAACACTTCCCTTTACCTCTCCCCAACACGCACTCATTAAAATGTTGTTAAGGTTCCTGCTGCCCTCTAGTGGTCATATTCTAGAAGTGGCGCGCCGAGTACGAACGTTGAGAAAACCATCCCAGACAATAATTTTAAAATGACACAGTCATTTAGACTTTGGGGAGACAGGGGACTGTGAAGGAGAGAAGAATAAGTAAGCCGTTCAGCTTCCCAAAGCCTCACCTCAGCAGCCACATCTGTAGAATGACAGTTTAGAAACTCTTCCTGGGGCTGCTGCTGATGGCTCAGAGGTTAAGAGCACTTAACCTCTTGCAGAGGGCCCATGTTCAGTACTCAGCACCCTCATCAGATGGCTTACAACTGCTCATAACTAACCCCAATTCCAGGGGACTCCATGCCAACCACTGACCCCGAGGGTGCCTGCACACACACAGTGCACAGAAACTCATGCAGGCACACGGAGGATAAATAAACAAACAAACAAACAAATAAATAAACAAATTGGAGGCTCGGGAGATGGCTCAGAGGAACTGAGTTCGATTCCCCTCACCCACACAGTGGCTCACAGCTGCCTGTAACTCCTGTCCCAGAGGCTCCGATGCCCTCTTCTGACCTCCACAGAGACCAGGCACACACGTGGTAAACAGACGCACAGGAAGGCAAAATATTCCTACAATAACAATAAATAAAGATATAAAATTTTAAATAAGTAAATAAATCTTTTTTCAAATCTCTTCCTAAGGCTCTCTTGTAGGCTGAAAGAACAAACAAAAACATAAATCGAAGACTCAAAGCACAGGACCCTCTCAAGAAAGCAGACCTGTGACTCCTTTCTTAAACTCCCCCAGTCTATGGGAAACTGAGGCCCAGCACAGACCACGTTAAAGGTAGTTTAGGCAGCAGAGTGGAGAGGAGACACAGTCCAAATGCTCAGCTGCTAACTGTAGTGCTCTCCATTCCTCAGTATCCTCACAACAGCTGATAATGAGGAATCTGGAGAATTTAAAACATCTTAAGAGGCTATTTTCAAATATTGCTGGCAGTTACCACTAAATCTAAAAATATACATTCATGTCTCAATGATCGGCTCTCTGGATTATGCCTTCAAAACTATGAGAAACACACACACAAGACTTATGCTGAAGACATGTTCAAGAGTTAGTAACGATAGTACAAAATTGAAAATAAGCTCGATAAGTGCAGATTAAGCAAAGTTTGGCGCTTGTAATAGCAATTGTTTTTACTTCTTGAACAATCTCTAGGCTGATACTTCAGCGAGGTCTCCCAGGACCCATTTTACCCCAATTTAGCCCACCAGGAATTTGAGGAACAGAGATGCTAAGTAGTTGGTCCAAGGTCAGATGTTCAGGAAGTAACAGTGAGCAGCATTAAACAGAACTAAGAGTGGGCGTGGTCTTCTTGAGACCGAGCGCTCCACAGGTCCGTTAATGAGGGCACCATAATGAAGGATTATTGTACAACCACAAAACATAAATCCTGCATGTCAACTTCAAGGGCATCATGCTAAATAAGAAAAAGTTTAAAAATGGCACCGTGGGTGATCTATTTATCCAGTAACTTTCATGTGACTGAGCCGCAAGGATGGGAAGACTGATGGTGATTTTGAGAGTTAGGGGTGGTGGGGAGGAGAGGGAAAGCGAGGAGAGGGAAGGCATGACTCCTAGAGGTCACGAGGTCATGGGGAGGTCTTTGTAGTGATACCTAGTTTCACATTTCTTTGATAGTTTGTTTTGTGTGGGTGTTTTGCCTGCACGTACGGACGTCTGCACCACATGTGTGCCTTTGGCCTGTAGAAGCTGGAAGAGGGTGTAGGATCCCTGTGGCTGGAGTTACAGACCGCTGTGAGCTGCCCTGTGGGTGCTGGGAGTCAAACCCAGGTCGTCTGTCAGTGCAGCAAGTCATGTTACCCACTGAACCGTCTCTCCAGCCCCCAGGTTTACACTTGATAGCGGCTGTGCCTCCTCGAGGCCACCCACATGACAAAAGGCCTCAGAACTGCACACATCCTGCCAGTGTTTGTTTCCTGGTTTTTTTTTTTTTTTTTGGTTTTTCGAGACAGGGTTTCTCTGTGTAGCTTTGCGCCTTTCCTGGGACTCACTTGGTAGCCCAGGCTGGCCTTGAACTCACAGAGATCCGCCTGGCTCTGCCTCCCGAGTGCTGGGATTAAAGGCGTGCGCCACCACTGCCCAGCTGTTTCCTGGTTTTAAGACTGTGTCAGGGTTCAGGAGACAGAGCTACTGGAAGACACTGGGGCCGAGTACACAGGCTTCCCTGCACTGTTTCAAAATTCCTTGTCAGTTCAGAATTGTTATAAGATGGAAAGGTAGGTTTAAAACTTGCCGAGTAGCTGGCTGTGGTGCAGGCCTTTAATCAAAGTGTTCAGGAAGCAGAGGCAGGTGCACGCTGTAACTTTGAGGTCAGCCTGGTCTACAGCTCCATAGAGAGTTCTAGGCTAGCCAAGGATACAGAGTTAGACTCTCTCTCTCTCTCTCTCTCTCTCTCTCTCTCTCTCTCTCTCTCTCTCTCTCTCACACACACACACACACACACACACACACACACACACACACAAGAAAGAAAGAAAAGAAGGAAGGAAGGAAGAAAGAGAGAGAAAGAAAGAAAAAGAGAGAGAAAGAAAGAAAGAAAGGAAGGAAGAAAGGAAGGAAGGGAAAGAAGGAAAGAAAGGGAAGGAAGGAAGGAAAGAAGAAAGAAATTACAAAGTAAAATATGCCTTATTTAAAGTCATTTAAAAAGTCAAATAAGAAACTGGCTAAATTCACCTCTTAGTGATATGTTCTTTTATGCTTATCCTTGAATAATTTTCCCTAGTTTTAATGTCTCTGTCTATGCATTCTGATTGTGAGCCAGCAAAATAATTTTATAAAGTATTAGGTATTAGTGGAAAACACTAAACATGACTTTATCTGAAGTTTAGAGTTATGGGGCACACCTGTAATCCCAGGACTCCTGAGACAGAGCATGGAGGATCAAGAATTCAAGGCAAGTCCAAGCCACACACACACACACACTTGAATAAATATTGAATTATGAGGGGACTTGTTTACAGTAAAATGTTAAGGGGATGGCTGTGGATGTCGTTAAGTTGGTGGACTGCTTTCCTAGCATGAGGCCCTGGGTTTGGGCTCCAGTATAATATAAACAGGTTTATGATGGCTCACTCTGGTGGAAAATCAAAAGTTGAGTGTCATCCTCAGTTCTACAGAGTTCAAAGCCAGTCAGGGATACATGAGACCCTGTCTCAAAAACATAGATCTCTTGAGAAATATATCAACAGGGCTGGGGAGATGGCTCAGTTGGCAATGCACTTGCCATGCACGCTTGAGGACCTCTGCTTGACTCACTTAAACTCATCAGACACAGCAACAAAAGAGCACAGTGAACGCCTGCAATCCCAGTGCGGGCAGGCAGAGACAGGAGACTCCCCACACTGGCCACCCGAATCTGGGAGCTCCGGGTTCAGTGAGAGCCTCGGTCACAAACTAAAGTGGAGAATGATGGAGGAAGATACTCAAGTTGAACACACACACACACACACACACACACACACACACACACACAAATAAATAAATGTTAAGGAGAAACAGTATAAAAGTCTTGTGGCTTCACTTCTGCTGTGTGTGTGTGTGTGTGTGTGTGTGTGTGTGTGTGTGTGTGTGTGTGTGCATGAGTGGTAGGTGGGTGGTGGGTGGCGGGTAGAAGGCCAAAATTTCAGTCAAAATGGTGGCTTTCTCCAAGCAATGGGTTTTGGATAACTTGTGTTTCCTCTTTTATAGCTTCTCTATATACTCTGAGCTTCTGCTGAGGGAGAACTGCCAAGATCGTCAGAGACTTTGGATGGACCAGTCTTTAAAATTGTAAAAAGGAAGCGAGACCAGGATTTCCAAGAACAGGATTTGGTTTCTCTTCAGAGTTAGATAAGAGTCAGAAAACATAAACAGACAATGTCTGTGAGATAGCAGAGTGTGAAAGGTCAGGAGGAGTGGAACGGAATTCAGAGTTGAGCAGGAAGTGCCTAACCGTGGAAGTGCTGACTTAACTCCTGTGTGGGGGATTCATCACGGAATTACATGGATAGGAGACCTTAAGTTCTCAGAAGAAATAAATGTTCAAAGCTATGATCCAAACAGCCACCATCTCCGGATGGGGATGTTTCAAACGCACTGTGGAAAAACAGCAAAACATACAACTTTTGAAGCGTGTGCGGCTTGCGGAGGATCATCCAGGGCAGGGCTATCTGCACCACCAGATGAGCCTGACACAGGCCACCTTAAGATTGCATCTCCCCAGCTGCACGGCACATGCCTCTGGTATTGCTCACAATGAAAGCCTGGGGCTCCAGATAATGGGACTTGGCCCCAAGCACCACCGAACGTGCTTTTTCCTGCCATTCTGGGAAAGGCAAGGCTGAACTACACAACCTGACCCTGAACAGATCCTTGGCATTCCCCCTGGACGCCGACTAGATAAGGAGCGAGTTTTTGCCTTTTTAAAATTGAAACTGACTCGAGTTGGAAATCTTGGTGTGCCCCGCACCTCCAGCTCTTTCGGAGGACTTCGACTTTACAAAGGAGCTGAAGGAAGCTGTCGGTTGTTGATGTTCAGCAGAAATCAGTCACAGCGGCTGCAGCAGGGGCAGAACCTCAGACGCAGCCCGAATAAAAAATGTCAAAGAGAGACTCTAGACAGTACTTCGGAATGGGGCTCTCGGGGCAACGAAGAGCAAACTGTGGCCCACTGACCGGTAGATCCAAGAGGACGCCTCTATCAAGTGCTGCAGACAGGAGGGTAAAGCTCTGGCTTCCAGGAGGACAGCTCAAGCTGCTGCTGCCGCTGCTGCTGTTGCTCTGTGCTCTGCAGACACCGGCCGGGAGCTCTGAGGTAGGGGCAATCGAAAAGTAGGTCTCTCGGTGATCTTCGTGATCTATGCACCAATAGGACGTTCATGTGGTGGGCACCTAAGTGATCAAAACTTAGGCACTGGCAATCTAGGAACAAACGATGTTAGTGAAGTGCTGGAAACAATTGGTATATAAAAAAGTTTAAACTTTTTATAATTCATAAATTTGGCACAATGGAAGTGAGTGCCATAGAGTTATTTTCCTGATTCTTTGTGAGTATTAAAATACTGTTTCCAAAGGACAAATAATATGAAATAAGCCTATTTGACTGGAGACAACTTTATAGAGACAGCACAAGTTTTGAGTATTCTACTTAAAGGTCTGTATTACTGAAAATGGGCTAATGATAACACATGATACAGGGAAATACTCGAGATCTGGTGACGTGTTAAAAATGTGATGGAGTTCAATGCAGTATTTGACAGAATGTGATGCTTGGCTTGACCTGGCTTGGATTACTGGAAGCTTATTTTAAAATCTGATGTACTGGTTAGCATCATTCAATCAGTCTTAAAAGTTGAATCTAGATTATATGCAACTAGAAAACATGTCATCGTAAACCACACGGTTAAAATACCAAATCGTGTGCTTTCTAGTTCCACTCCCAACCACACTGACCTTGGACAGAATCTTGCCTTTTGATGAGTACTGTTCATGAGAAAAGCGTCATTGCTTTGCCTAGAAATCAGCATCTGTTTGGCTGTAGGTAATTCAAATAAGGTTCTCAATAATGAGCTGTTGGAACCCAGGGAGCCTCTTTCCAAGCCTCTGGCTTCACTCCAACCCTCTCCAGACAATACTCAAGTGTTTCCCCCACCACAACAGACTGGAGCGTACTTTCCAGCCCCTTACTACCCAGAGGAGGGACTTTCCTAGGCACCGGCTCACTCTTCACTCACTCGGCTCCCCTGGAAACATTGCTTTCTGGGTAAGATTTAGAGGACTAACTGCCCGCATGGAGTTCAGCTCTGTTCTCCACTCTGGGACTTGGCTAACCTAATCTTTATGACATGGGGGCTCTTCCCCCATGACAAGATGTTATCTAAGAGGCCTCGGTCCTGCCAGCAACTGCTGAGACAAGTCTGACTGGGTCTGGAACTTACTTTTAAGTCGACTTGCCACCAGATCCAAAGCTGCGTGTACCTACATGGTCTTATTGGGGAAGAAGGGTGATATTTCAGCTTCCACATTTGCTTTTTTTTTTCTTCCTTTTTGTCCCCAGACTCTAAGTAAGCAAGAAGATTATTTTTTAACAAGATAAGAATCTAACACTACTTATCACTCATAAAGTTAAAAGCTTTAATATAGGGGGGCTGGAAGAAGGCACAGGGGTTACAGTGCTTGATGCACAAGTGTGAGGACTTGAGTTTGGGTCCCAAGAATGCACGTGAAATCCAGGTGTGATGGAACGCATGTCTATAACCCCAGTGCTGGCAGTGGGAAAGGGGTGTGGAGATGGGAAGGTCCCCAGAGCTCTAGAGATCCCTGGCCAAGCACTCAGCTCAACTGCTAAGCTTCTGGCTCACTGGGAGACCTTGTCTCAAAAAATAAAGTGGAGAGTGGTAGAGGAAGACCCATGACATTGACCCTGGTCTCCATGTACATGCACACGCACAGTAAGATGTAAAGTTTACACACACACACACACACACACACACACACACACACACACACACACACGCACACACACGGTTGTTTTGTTTGGGTTGAGACAGGGTCATACACTGTAACCCAGGCTGGCCTTGAACTCACTATGTAGCCAGCAGGCAGGCCTCAAATTCATAGCAATTCTCCCACCTCAGCCTTGCCAGTGCCAGGGTTATAAATATGAGTCACTATACCCAGTTCTTAACATTCTTTGTGACATCCATGAGAGAATATGAAGAGAAACTAAAGGAGGTGGAAAGTATAATTAAACTATAAGGTTAGTGCTTTATTTCTTCAACAAATTCAACATGTATAAACACTGTGAGTTCTATGGTACAGAACACTTCCACCCTGGGAAGATAAGCCTTTGAGTTTTTTGTGCCTGTTACAAATAATGACAATCCCAGCCCAGGTAGGAATAATATGGGGGTCAATATAATGGACATGCTTGACCATTCCATGTAAAACACTGTAGGGCACAACAAATCTGCAACTTCCTTTCCATCAGACTTGAGTAATGCAAATCAAGATTACTTTTTCTTATAGGCTGCTCTTAAGGTAGACCTTGACTTGACACCAGATTCCTTTGATGATCAATACCAAGGCTGTAGCAAGCAGGTCATGGAGGAGCTAAGCCAAGGAGACTACTTTATGAAGGAAATAAGCACTCATAAGTATTACTCCAGAGCATGGCAAAAAGCCCATTTAACCTGGCTGAGCCAAGACAAGACTATCCCGGAGAGTATGACCACCACACACGCTGTGGCCCTTTTGGTCTACACCTTGAATCAAAATGTGAGCTCTGACTTTGCTACGGCCATGGTCAGCACTGTTGGGTCTCCCAGCCAGTACAGACAGTCATTCCACTTCAAGTATTTGCACTACTACCTCACCTCAGCCATCCAGCTGCTGAGGAAAGAGAGCTCCACAAAGAACAACAGCCTGTGCTACAAGGTGCACCATGGGATGAAGAACATGAAATTTGACGTCAATGTTGGGGCCACCATTCGATTTGGCCAGTTCCTTTCTGCCTCCCTGCTAAGAGAGGAGACACGAGTGTCTGGAAACCGAACACTGTTTACTATTGTTACTTGCCTGGGTGCCTCTGTGCAAGACTTCTGTCTCAGGAAAGAAGTCTTGATCCCCCCCTATGAATTATTTGAAGTCACAAGTAAGAGCCACAACCCCAGTGGAGATTTGATAAACTTGCGGTCTGCTGGAAACCTGAGCACATATAACTGTCAGCTGCTAAAAGGTGAGCCTGCTCTAAATTGAATCTATATTTATCAGACTCATAGATCACTCTTTGTCTATAGAAGGTTTTTGTTATTGTTGATGATGATGATGATGATGATGATGATGATTGTTGGGTTTTTTCCTGAGTGGGCTTGGAGTAGAGGAATGGAAACAAGGATACTGACCTCCAGTGATAATGGAACTGACAGACTAAATTGACTTTCTGCTTTATTTCTCACCTACCACCTCTAAAATAATAAAAATAAAAAAGAGATTCCGCATCGGTACCACCTTATCCATAGGGATTTGTTCCAGCAACCCCAGAGGATGGTTACAAACCTCAGGTACTACCAAACCCTACATATACAATAGGTTTTTACTATACATACATACATACATACCTATGATATTGAATTTATTATAAGCCAAAGGTTATTTAAATGTTCACTCTGTGTCCCCAAAATATCTTATTGCAGTTTAATCCTCCTTCTTGTTGTAATGTGACATAACACAATGCATTTGTGATAAGATGAAATCAAAGAAGTGATATAGGCTGGTAGCATATACAGTGTGGAACCGCTAGACAAAGGTGTGATTCCCATCTCAATCAGGATGGAACAAAACTACACAAGATTTCAACTTTCTACTCAGGATGACTCCTAATCTAAAATTTATGAGTTGTGATGTTTCTGAGATTCTTCAAGTAAAATTTTCAGACCACAGTTGACTAGAAATGGATAAAATTTCTAGAAAGAAAAATTGGTGGTAAAGGAAGATTTACAGTATTACACGGAAAATATAAACATTTAAAAAACCTTGATTAGAGGAGATAGTGCTGTAGAATATTACTTTAGCTATGTAAAGGTATGTTGCATTTGTTTATGTTGTGTTTGTTTAACTAGGCAAAGATATGTTACATTTGTTTAATTATGTAAGGATGGGTTGCATCTGTTTCACCTTGCCTGCCTAAGGCATCTGATTTGTCTAATAAAAAGCTGAACAGCCAATAACTAGGCAGTAGAGGGATGGGCAGGGCTGGTGGGCAGAGAGAATACATAGGAGAAGGAATACAGACTTGAGAAAGAAGAAAAAAAGAGAAGAGAATGAGAGAGGAGAGGCAGGCAGCTGCCCGCTAGCCAGACATGGAGAAAGCGTTGAAAGCAAGACATACAGAAAGAAAGCAAGGTGAAAGGCCCCGAGGCCAAATGTAGATGAAAGGAAACAGGTTAAACTAAATTACAAGAGCTAGTGGGACAAGCATAAGATAAGACCAAGCATTCATAACTAATAACAAGTCTCCATGTCCTGATGTGGGAGCTGGTTGGTAGCCCAAGAGAAAGCATAACACGTTTGGCACCCCACATGGGGCCACCAACCAGCTCCCACATCAGGACATGGAGACTTGTTATTAGTTATGAATGCTCGGCCTTACCTTATGCTTGTCCCACTAGCTCTTGTAATTTAACTTAACCGGTTTCTTTTCATCTGTGTTTTGCCTTGGGGCCTTTTACCTTTCTTTCTTTCCATGCATCCTACTTTCACTGCTTCCTCCATGTCTGTCAGTCTGGCTGGCCCTGGGTGTCTCCCTCTCTCTCTCTCTCCTCTCATTCTCTCTGGAGCCTAGATTTCCCCTCCTTCTTCTTCTCTCTGCCTGCCAGCCCCACCTACCCCTCTACTGCCTAGCTATTGGCCATTCAGCTTTTTATTATTTAGACCAATCAGATGCCTTAGGGAGGCAAGGGGAAACAAATGCAACACATCTTTACATAATTAAATAAATGCAGCATAAACAATTGTAATGCATCTTTGCCTAGTTAAACAAATGCAACATAAACAAATGCAACACACCTTTACATAGTCAAAGTAATATTCCACAACAGGAGATAGTATATGATATATATTTTTTCATCTTCTCCATCAAACTTTGTTCTTCAGGAGGGAAGTCAAGGTCATTATATGACTAAGAAGTTCTCAAATTAACACAAAAAGTAAAATTTTTACTTTCTAGTTTTCTATGTGTTAACCCTATTCTGTTATGATTGGATATCCTGGCAACACAGAATGAATCAAAACAAAACTGTTATTCTGGGGGGATTTGAGTCTAATGAACAATGGGAGCAGAAATTAATGTATGAATTTGAAAGTCCCAAGTGATACAGCAGATGGGTTGCCGCTGGTCCATGCAGGGAGCTACTCTGCTTCTGGAGAAGGTGAGGTGAACTTCCCAACAAAGGGCTACGTGGGACTTGAAACGGGCACGGAGATTTTCAGAAAGAGAGAAAACATACAGTGAAATCATGGGGAACCACCGAGCCCAGGGTAGCTGGAGAGCAGTGTGTGAGGAGGAGAGAGGCCTAGAGAGGGATCAGGGGGCTTCTCCAGGCAGCAGGTTCTGTTGGACCTGATTGGCCTTGAATCTACCTTAAGTTGTGGGTGATGAGAAGTCGTCAGAGGACATCAGCCAGGCATGGTAGCACACACAATCCTAATCCCAGCACTTGGGAGGCTGGGACTGATGGATCTCTGTGAGTTCAAGGCCAGCCTGGTCTACAGAGAGCCAGTGACAGCTATTAGCAAGACCCTCTCACAACAACTACAGACACCAAACAAACAGCAGCAATAACAAAAAGTTGTAGGAAGTCCAGGGCTGGGGTTTGTAGCTCATCTGGGAAGATGCTGACCAGCACAAGGGCCTTGAGGTAGAACCCCAATATGGCATAAAACCAGGCATCATGGTATAGGCGGGAAGGTTAGAAGTCCAGTGTCACCTTCTCGTTAGATAGCAAATTCAGGGCCAGCCTAGGATGTGTGAGACCTTCTCCTTAAAATGGGTTGGAAAAATGGCTCAGGGCTTATGAGTATTGACCGTTCTTCCAGAAGACTCAGATTCAGTTTCTAGTACCCACCTACATGGTGACTCACACTCCAGCTCCTGCTCTGATGTCTGTTCTGGCCTCTGTGGGCACCATGCATGCAAGTCATACACAGACAATACACTCAGGCAAAACACTCATCCACATAACATAGAACAAGTAAACCTTTAAAACTGCATAGAGTTTTAGTTAGGTTTCTATTGCTGTGATAAATACCCTGACCAAAAGCAACTTGGAGAAGAAAGGATTTATTATATCTTACAGCTTGCAGTCAGTCCATCATCCAGGGAGATCAGAGCAGGAACCAGGAGCTGATGCAGAAGCCATGGAGGAGTACTGCTTACTGGCTTGCTCTCCATGGCTTGCTCAGCCTGCTTTCTTAAAGAACCCAGGACCACCAGCCCAGGGATGACACCACCCACAATGAGCTTGGCCCTTCCCCATCAACCACTAGTTAAGAAAATGCCCTACACACCTGCCTATATAGGACAATCCTATGGAGGCATTTTCTCACTTGAGAGTCCCTCTTCCCAAATTACACAGAGCTTATGCCAAGTTGATGAAACACTAACCAGCACACATAATTTAAAAGCAGAAAAGAAACGGGTTATTTAATTGATCAGTGTTTTAAAAGCAGCTCTGGAGATACTGTGAGAAACAACCTTTAAAAAAGAGACATTCAAGATATCACAGTAGACAAAAGAAGAGCACGTTCCTTAGGAAAAGCTGGGGATCCCATTTCACCCCTTCATGTTGCCACCCAGCTGCTCTGCTAAGGGGCAATTCTGTGCGTTCTGCGCCATCTGACTCAGGACAATGGTCCTCGCCAGCCCACAAATACAGCCGCAGAGTTGCAAGCCAGCTGCACCAGCTACCTGTGGATCATTTCCCAGTCTCTCTCCACTCCCTCATCACTACTGTTTGTACTTGGGACTCCGCACTTCTCAGCTCCATTCCCCAGCGTTGTATGGGGCTTCTTTAAGCTGGGGTCTAGCCTGCTCACTCTATCTGTACATACAGACTGGGGAGAGGTGACCTGTCAATCTTGTTACCTCCTCCCTCTTCCTCTTGGCAGCAATACAAATGACATGAATATTGGCTCCACAGACCCAAGACAGTTGTGTTGGTCAGAGGATGAAAAACTGCAGTAGAATATGAGGAAAAGAATGATGCTTTGACAATGAGTAAGAACACACCTAGCCAGCTTCCACGATTCTCAATGTACGCTTGCCTAAGAGTAGAGGCAAGGGGATCAGAGGGTCAAGGCCATCCTTGACAATATATCAAGTTCAAGGCCAGACTGAGATACATGAGACCCAGTCTAAAAAAGGAAAAGAAAACAACAACTTGAAACATAAATAGAAGACTGAGGGAATATATATTGCCCTTCTGTCAACTTCAAAGAAAAGTATTCCAGAACAAAGCTGAGGATGTCACTCCGTGGGAAACCACTTGCTTAGCATACACAAGATCCTGTGTTTCAGACCCAGTACTGCAAAGAACAAATGAGACAGAGAAAGAGAAAAAAAAAGATGCTTGGACCCCCCCCTCCTCCTGCCACACACACTCACACACACACACACACACACACACACACACACACACACAAACACACACACACACACACTGCTCTCCTGTAATGAAACCACTTAAACACAACTTTAACTCAGCCTTGAGTTAGGACTTAGCTGAGATAGCCATATATATTATCAGACATTGGATGTTTGGCTTGTCTTCAGTGAATACTTGATACCATTACATACTTAGGAAAATCAATGACCTTGTGTTGCCCTATACACTCTTTGTAGACAGGGCCTGGAGAACCAAGTATTCAAGAGTAAGGCAGGGAACTGGGCAGCTTGACCCCAGATCCACCATGTTTGGTTCCACAACCGTCTGTACCACTCATTAGCTACATGTTCTTGGTCAAATAGCTTAAGCTCTTCTTCTACAGGATGAGCAGTGCCAAGGCGAGAGTGGCTGTAGAGCATGCTGGAGGCCAAGTCCAGTTCCCCAGAGCTCAAGTGAGAAGAGAGAGAAAAACTCCATAATGAGCATTAGAGCATAACCTTATAAGGCTTTTATGAAGATTAAGTAAACTAAGATGCTAAATTACTTAACATTCCTTAGCAGACTGTAAATGGTA